TTAACCCGAACTCGAGGATTAAAGTGGAAAATAGGGACAAAAGGGATGGTAGATCGCGCGCGCGGCCGTGTGTCGAAAATCCGAGAATCCCTCGAGTTTGTGTGCCGCACGGGCGATTCAATGCACGCTTGGTAACGAGTACGAGTTTCTGACGTCCCCTCGAAATAACGAGGCCTCCGAACAAAAGTGCAGAGGCCTTCTTGTGCACCTAAGCTAGGGGTAAAAGAGTGTCATTACGTAATAATATCTCTGAAAATTCAACGTGTTACCGCTCCCTTGCACGACTCTCCCAGAAACAAGCAATTTAGTCCTCTCTTGCTGCAAGGACCTCTTCACAGTGCACTGCACCATCCTTCCCTTTATCTCTCCGGTCTTCATCCACCTAGGGGGAGACACTTTGACAATGCGACGTACGCAGCAACGGAATATGCCGAGAATAGCAGTATCTTCTTTCTTTCTTTCTTTCTTTTTTTTTTTTTTTCAACTTTTTCACGATATACGTTCGATACGTTTCGAAGGAACGTCGATCGATCGAGGAGGAAAGCGAAGCACGGCGAGCTTTCCCATTTTGGAACACCATCGGCCAAGGAAACATCCATCCTTGAATCGTGGCCAGCGTCCTAGAAGCATGGCCATTTTTCGTGACGTTTGACCCGTTTCTACTGGATAAGGGTGACGTCACCGCGGGGAATGTTCAGATCAATGGTCCTCAGAGGGTTGGCGGCACTGCTTTTGCCTCCGTTCCTAGTAAACACGTGCCCTCAGACGTGCCCACTCGAGTTCCCGATTCGATGAAAACGATCGAGGATAACGAGTATAATGACAGCCGTGAGCGAGTTATCGCGATCCCTATGATTCACGGATATCCTAATTTGTATCGTCTTCTCCTCTGATCGATGCAATTCACACGTGTACGCGTGAATATATAATTTTCTTTTTTTAACCACGTCCTATTTCTGTCTCTCGCGTAGGATTAATTAAAACGAGAAGTCGATAATAATAATAATAATAATAATAGAATATTTCGTTTCAATGGTATCCCATCCCTGTGAATTCTTCACAGTGAACCCGTTATCACGGAACCATGGCCTCTCAATAGGGCATCAATCTTGGGCTTAATAGTCTCAGTGACAACGCTCATCTTCTAAAATTGATGCCTTCGTTAGAAGGTGCTCACCCGTTCTCATACACTCCTTTCAACACGATCGATCGATTTCATCGAGATTCGATCGTTTCCTTTCGATATAGCTTATACATTATCGCGTGATAAGCAAGCGAAACAAGCGTCGAACAGGTTTCCCACATCTTGGTCGATGACACGTAACGAAACGTTACCTCGTCGCGATCATTTCCAAAAGAGAATTGAGAACCACTGGCGTGACGTCACGGAAAGTTCAATGACGTCATAGACCGTTCGATACACCGTGATCCAATGGTGGGGGTTTGGTTTCACCGAGAGAAGCGTTCAGGACCATGGGTAGGAGGATGAAACGAAGCTGTGCGGCATAAGAGGAGGGGGGCGAGGAGGAAGAGGAGGAGGAGGAGGAGCAGGAGGAAGAGGGGGATACCGGCGCATGGAGAACGAGAGACTTTTCACGCCGTTGCAACTGAATGCTGGTACCATTACACTCGGTAGATCAAAGAACTAGGCTGACAGATTCGGCCACGTTGTTACCCCCGTTTCTTCCTTTTCTCCCTCGAGATTTCCACAGAGAAACAAACATTTTTCCGTGTCGCGAATCTGGATGATGAAAACTTTCCAAATGGAATATTTTCCATGCATAAAGTCGTTCGATCATCGCGTAAATTATCGTGTATTTCAATTTCTCCAAGTCGATATTTTGGAAAATATGTGAGATTGCTCGAAGGAAATATTTTTTTTTTTCTTTGTTCAAATGCTAATTAACATAGCAACGCAGTAACGAGTTAAAACAGGGTTATTCTAGCGGGGAGTAGCGATAAATTAACGACGGTGTCCAAGCTGCATGTGCATATAGAAGGGAAGCTTACTATGTCGACTGATTCTGAAGCACGAAAGAAGAGGCGCGTCGAGTGGATACCGAGGCTCGAAGAGGCAGGTAGCTCGGCATCTAAACGAGGATTTTCTCGAGCGACGATGACGTATATACGCGTCGAGGTGGCCCCGAAAGCCGGGCCAGAATTTTCCTCTTTCTCTTCTATCGCGGGTCGTCATCTGAAAGAAGCCGACTTGAAGGAGGAGAGACCTCTTCAACTCTCTCGTTTCCAGACTTTCTTTCCGGCTCACCCGTGGCACGAGATCTCCACCGAGCCGATGCATCCTCCCTTGCCAGTTTTTGCGGTAAAATGATCGAACGAGACGAGATCGGAGGCGCAATTCGACTCGAATCGAGCCGTGAAATATACTATAAATATAATTCTCGAGTCTCGATGAATTTTCTCTCCGCTCATGGGACGAGATACCAAAACCTTCTATCGAGATCTTTTCTTTCGATTCCTCGAAACGCGTATTTAATTAGGAAACGAATCCGCGGAGATGTTGTTCTCGTATGATCAAGGAGTCAAGAATGACTATTTCTTCGAGAATGAAGGTACTAGGAAATCTCCAGCGACCTGTTTATCCGTTCTTGAGGATGCGATTCAGGGTAGCCGCATTGCGCCACCCCCACTATCAGTCAGGGCTGGTTATAAAAGGTATATGCTTGTAATTTTCGTTCCGCGACTTGGTGCACTCTGCGGTTTCCGGCTGGCCGAAAGACACCGGTACACCGGAAACACCGTCGACACGCTCTTCTCGACTCGTTAAATCGCGTTATGTAACGCGATGTTGCGCACCAGGCATCGCCTCTCCTCGT